AGAAGGCGGCGGCGGGCTCGGAGGTGGGCTGGGCGGCGGGGGCGAGGGAGGCGGTGGGCTTGGCGGCGGAGGTGAGGGCGGTGGCGGCGACGGCGGTGGTGGCGACGGTGGCGGCGGCGACGGCGGCGGCGGGGACGGCGGCGGCGGGGACGGTGGGGGTGGGCGCGGCGGCGGCGGCGACGGCGGCGGCGGGCTTGGCGGCGGTGGCGATGGCGGCGGTGGGCTTGGCGGCGGCGGCGGGAAGAAGCACGTCCTGGTCTGGACGCCGTTCAGGCAGCCCCGAGGGACAGCCGCGATGGAGCCGTCGCCACCGATGGCCGCGGTTACCTCGTAGCCGTACAGTCCCGCTGGGCAAGATGGGCCTTCACCGACCACATATGTCAGGAAGAACGCCAAGGTATCGTCAATGTACGGCTGCAGCGATGCACCCTCGGCCTCGGAGAAGAAGGTGCCGCAGACCTTGAAGTAAGTGGCAGCGCACTCCGCCAGCTCGAACGGAGAGATGAGGGCGATACCGAGAGAATTGGCGCCGTCGTTCAGATCAGCACCGATATCGCTGCCGTATGCACTGCAATCATTTTGGCTGAAGGTGAACCTGCCTGCCGATGGTGAAACTGCCTTGACGGAGATGTAGATGCACGTACGGCATGGAGGTGGCGGGCTCGGTGGCGGCGGAGAGGGTGGTGGCGGCCTTGGCGGCGGCGGAGACGGCGGCGGAGGGTTGGGAGGCGGAGGGGAGGGAGGCGGGGGGTTTGGAGGGGGAGGGGAAGGTGGAGGGGGCCTCGGAGGCGGGGGGCTGGGAGGGGGAGGAGATGGGGGAGGCGGCGAGGGCGGAGGAGGAGATGGGGGAGGGGGAGATGGGGGGCGGGGCGAGGGCGGGGGAGGCGGGGGAGGCCTGGGTGGGGGAGGGGAAGGAGGAGGAGGGCTGGGAGGAGGCGGCGAGGGAGGTGGTGGAGATGGAGGCGGCGGTGAGGGCGGTGGTGGCGAAGGAGGCGGAGGCGAGGGTGGCGGGGGTGAAGGAGGAGGTGGTGAGGGAGAGGGTGGTGGCGGGCTCGGGGGCCTTGGCGAGGGCGGTGGTGGCGACGGCGGCGGTGGGGATGGTGGCGGAGGAGACGGCGGCGGCGGGCTTGGAGGCGGCGGGCTGGGCGGAGGTGGCGACGGTGGTGGCGGCCTTGGCGGTGGAGGCGACGGTGGTGGCGGGCTGGGCGGCGGTGGCGATGGCGGTGGTGGCGATGGCGGCGGCGGCGATGGCGGCGGCGGCGATGGCACGTTGACCTTGGAGATCGGGCAGCACTCGTTGGATGAGTCGAATGCGGCTACAGCGCAGACGCCGGGGGCGTCGCCCGCCGGTGCAACGCACATGTCCTCGAGAGTCGTGCAGCCCTCGCCGGTCTTGCTGGCTTGAAGGATGATGCAGATCTCGGCACCGTCGTCTGCAGGGCCCAGGCCGAGCTGGGTCACGCGGAGGATGGTGCTGCCGATTGGCCCATCGGCAGCGTAGTCGAAGGACGGGGCGACCTTAGTGTAGACACCGTTGACGGTTGCCCTCACATTGACGCCGAAGACATCACAAGCCGGCTTCACGTCGAACTGCGAGAAACGGCGCGGGAAAATGCGGGTGGCGTGCACTATTGAGCAAAGATCCTTCTACTTGGCTGACGCAGAAATGGCAATAAATGAATGCGCTGGGCGCGCTTAGTTTATTTTCTTTAAATACATAGGCAGAAATATCTTATAACATAATGGGATGTCGCAGCGACGAAAGACATACATGTCGAGACCATCGTGAGCGAAACGCTGGGATACTGCATGGCGCATACATTTAAGTTGAATCAACACCAGATTAATTCGCACTTACCTCAAGCTTTTTGAGATCGGCCGTTGCGCAGCAGTAAGTGTTGCAGTTTGCGGGGGTCACAGAGTTGAGCGTGAAGCAATACTTGCCACCGCCAAGCGCCTTCACCGTTGGCGACAATGAATACCTCGCCTTCTTAACGCACTTACAATAGGGAAAGCTTGGGTATAAGCCAGTCTGCTCGGCGTTGGCAGCCCTGCGATCATGGGGCAGCGAAGGCTTCCGTAAGGACAGACACTCGATCCAAAGCAGGAAATCTAGCAACCTGAAAACTACGCATTACATGCACATGATTACGATAATTATCGCGTTGTTGTATGGAGATGAATGGGTTCAACCGATGGCGCCTGTCGTGGCTGCCAGCAACCTAGTACTCGGCAGAGCAAGCATTCAACCTCATTAGCCCATACTGAGCATGTCAGTTAGTCGCGCATGCCTCCGACGTGAAATCTGCATCCCCTGGCGCAGATGGATTGACCCTGCTAGGATGAACTCACGCAAAAGCGGCCACCAACAATAGCGCTGTAATAGCGCTGGGCTTCATGACGTAATGCCACAAGGCGGACTACCATAGATTTCCAGTATCCAAGGCTTTATCGTGGTCATTTCGACTGATCGTACTGGCCAGTACGGCGCCCGCCTGCTATAAATCAAGTAGGTCCCTAACAAAGCGTCTTCCCTGTATTACACGATACAATAATTAACAGATGTCGTGTTTCAACTTGGCATATTTCTGGCCCAAGTTATCGCTTTTGCTGGCAGAAGTCCAGGTACGGCCATATCAGGCGTTTTTCCTGTATGAACGCTAAGTGTCTTTTTCATTTCTAAGCAGATGTCATTACAATTAACTTGGTTCTCCCTACCTACCTGATCTGTTGGGCCTCAAAGGTACGGTGTGCAATTTAACCGTATAGGCCGCACCTTGCGTGGTGGTAGGAATATTCTTCTTCCTCCTCCAGCGGCGGAGAAGATTATAGTTTTACACAACATTTATTTTTGGATAAGTGTTACGGAGTAAGGTGAATGCAAGTGCATTATGGCCCGCACTGAGCAGGGAATGCTACAGGTAAAGTTTTTCTTTGCAGGCATACTGTATATTGATAGGCTGCATATCGGTCGTTGAATCCTGTGCCTGGTTGGTGAATTCGTGATGGTCTGAGACTTCGTTTTGGTGAGGCCGAAACGTGCCCGTTCAATGAGGAGGGCCAACGGCAGCGTATAACATTCACGAAGTATCGGGGGATGCATGCCACTTATGTTGCTGGATACGTTGGTCGTGCGCAACAGTGCGCAACTGTCTGGCGGTGCACTGTTGGTATTCGTGATGATGTTTTGGTGTTCCGACCCCAATGAGTACACTTAATTATGACATGTAAACTGAATACTTCCATCTATTCTGTAATTTCCAACTTCCGCAGGCGGAATACCCAGTGCGAACTCGCTCAGGGCTCCTCAGGCATCCGGGCACGGTTTCCGTGCTGTAAACAATAGATACCGGCACGCAGATCACCTACTTTATCTTGCAAAGCAGAGTTGGTTTCCTACCAGGTCATGGTTCACCTGGTAAGGAGGAAGGACCTATCAGAAAACTATCAAATTAGCAGGACAGATGCCCTAGCCTGGGCACTCACAAAAGAAGACAGAGTAGAATCATGAAGGCAACCCAAAATTAATGTCTCAATGCTGCTTAAGAGCTAAGGGACAAGCCACACATGGCCGCATGAGTTCATGGGAGAAGTAGTTAAGCAAGACTGAAGCTCATAATCAGTCTGTGGGTAATCTTCTTACGAGCGTTTCGGCATATAAAGTAATAAATCTTTAGTAAAAAAATACATTTTGATCCTTGATGTGCTTTTGTCTTTCGCATGTCTGCTGTACAACCGGAATAAGCCGACCAAATTCCATCTGTTAGGCAGCACTCGACGGGATGACAAAAATATTCTCACACAATGCTCGCTATGGTGTAAATCTTTTACCAGGAGGTTGCGGATGAGTGGCCGATTTCTGGAATCGGCGCAGGAAGGAGGAATGGGGTCGAAGGCCCCCTACCCTGAGGCTTTTGCCAAAACTTATTATATTAATACATTTGCGTATTTGTCTCTAGTTAAAATGATTTGAGGCCTTTTACCTTTTCAGGCAAAGGCGGTTGAGTCTAAAAGTACGGAGCAGAGGCCTTTTGCGTGATAAGGCTTGTTAAAAGTTAAACTCGACACAGGTTGTTGTGGCCTAGATATGCGCTACCCGCACGATGCCAGGCGCGAATATGCCATGCAGGATTGCCGACCATGTCCTGGTCGCAATAAATACTAACTATATTGACAAATGTACAAACTTTATCTCTGCATAACACTGCTGCTGGTCATGCGTGGGGTCGCACCTATCCGGAAAGCAACTGGAGCACTTGGGGTCGCGAAGAAAGTCGAACCTAACAGGTTGCTGGCACTCTCATAGCTCGGCGAAACCAAGTAATGCTTTGCATAGCGCAAAATTTTACCAGGTAAGAGCGGGCGTCGCAGTTTATGAAATGCTCCGCTTTCGTTTTGTGGAAAGATAGGCCGCACTTTGTATCCACTCGGCACCAGTAGCAGAATTATTTTGGGACTATACATGACATCTGAACGATGAGTTAATATAAGTAAATTGAGATTTGTATACACGACATGCCTTTGGCTTCGGGGCAAACTGCCTGGCAAAGGCGAGTGTACTGCGTTACTGGCTGTACCGCATAGCAAAAGACCATCGCACAGCGATAACTGTCGTACCATGATACAGAGACGTCCAAACGACCGTAACCGTACTCCATGGCCATAATGTCTGATTGTGCTTCTACATGACTGGAAACGAATAAACAACGCACCGCAAGTCCGAGACCCGTATCGCAAGCCAGGTATAACCAAAAACCGTTTTCTGTTGTAACGAAAACCACATCCGTGGAAGGCGTGACTACGCAATTGTATCCGTAGCATGGGTTGCTTCCCCAGAAGTGCACTTATGAACATAGAGGCTTGCTTTGTTTGAAGTGCGAGGTAGGATGGTGCTTATAGGCGATCTGGCAGCCCTTGAGCCCCCGGCTCGTTTTAGGGGGGTTTTCAGGCAGGGGGAACGCACCCACGACCATGTAACACACACACACACACACACACACACACACACACACACACACACACACATGGGAAGCCAGTGACCAAGGTGACCTGCCCACCCCGCAACCTAGGGAAGATGCGAATACGTGTCAGTCACGCGGAGCATAGAGATGCCGTACTTCCACCCACATCTTAAAACCTACCGCGTCAACAGCTCAGGCGCCCAGCCAGGTAACGGGGGGCGTTCAACCGCATGTACGGCAACCCAACCCATCCCAGCCCCACAAACTCATCCCGACAACCACCAGCCGTGGAGATATCCGTACCGGAGACACGCAGGGGCCCTTTCGGGACCGGGAACAGCAATCTCCCGCCATCCCCCCCTTCAAGGGCACGCCATGCCATGTCAACGACTCCCAAACCCGGCCCAGCCCCGGGGCCCTTTCTCCCCCGCCAACAGATAGGCACGCACATGGGAGCGTGTCTATCTGTTGTACGGCACAAAACACGGCTACAGGTGGGTCAGATGTCGGCGCCCTCGAAGCCGCTGCCCCTCTGGACGGCCTCCGCCAGCGGCCTCCCCTGGAGTCCACCCCAACCTGCCGGGGACCCGCTGCCGCACCCCGTACCGCATTGCGGCGGCTCCGATTCGTTCATGGCTGACAGCGACGGCGGCGGCGGCGGCTGCTGCTGCTGCTGCTGCGGGGGCGGCGGGTGCGGTGACTGCAGCGACAAGTTAAGCGGCAGCAGATGTGGCTCTTGCTGCTGGTTGGCATCCTTGGTGGCGCCGTTGCGGGGGGTCGACAACCCCGCAACGGTCCTGGAGCTGCTCAGGCGACCGCGGGCGCGAGTGGGGCCGCCACCGCCGCCACCGCCGCCGCCGACGGCGGCAGCGGCAGCGGCAGCGGTGCCTTTGCCTCCCGTTGCTGCCTCCCGCATGCGTCGTACGTTCTTGCGCTGCTCCTCCGCCGCCGCCACCATGGGTCCGTCAGTGACCGCATTCACGATGTGGGCGGCGATGGTGAGGCCGAAGAGGGCAGGGATGAAGGAGATCGTACCTGGAAAGCCGGGCATGGCATGCGGGTACTGGGCCGTACTGGGCCGTACTAGGCCGTACTAGGCCGTGGCATCTCTCTTCCCCCCGGGAACCCCAAACACCCTCGTCCCCCATCCTCGCCTACGTAGGGGGCACACAACCCTCCTAAAGGCCTGCCACCGCATTGCGCTGCTCCTCCGTGGACTTCGGCCGTATGTATGTATGTATGTATGTATGTACGTCGCGCGGCAGCTTAAACCGTGGGCGCTGTGACCCCCGACGACAACGACCTCAGCTGCAGTTGACACAGCTAAAAGTTGATATCAAATGTTGACCCCGAACCCGCCCCTTATTCGTCCCGAGATAACCGTCCTGTTTTCCCCCCTTCACTCTCTCCCATGTGTATGTATGCATGCATGTATGTATGTAACTCCGTTCAGATGAATCTCTGCGGTTCTCGTTTGTGCTCTCTTGGCAGTGTAAAAACGCCCTTTTTATTAAGTTAAGTTCCTCGTCGACCGCGCGAGGGGGAGAGAGAACGATCCAACAGCCCAGATGTCCTATGTACGACACCCACCCACCGTAGTACGACCGCTTGTACCGCGCAGCTGACGCCAGCGCCATGCTCGTACTGCGGCACGGCTCCGTAGAGAACACCACAGTGACGCCGTTGTGGATGCCGTACTGGCGGCGAAGGCCACGGCGGCAGGCGGCCGCGAAGGGATCGCCGTACGTCTCCGAAATATCAACGATTCGTACGGCAAGCGGATCCATTCGGCCCCCTACGCCAGTTAGCAATTTCCGGGACCATGTCGGGGGGGGGTGGGGGGTGGGGGGGTGGAGGTACTGCAGTCAGCAAAGAGGAACTGCTGCTGATCAGGTGCGGAGGAGGATGAGGGAGATCTGAAAGTTGAAAGACGGAATGGGCGGTTAGTTTGCTGCGAACGAAGCCAAGGAACGATGCCATCGGAGCCGCCGCCACCGCCACCATAGCCGCATCCCTCTCTCCCGCCCTCCGCCCCCTCGCGAAGCTGTGGAAGACGAGGGAGGCGCGCTCTCTGGGAGGCGCGCCACCAGCACCCCAGGCAACTACGCAGGATGCCACACGTCCCCGAAACACACACACATACATACATACATACACACACTGGGCCCCCTTACATCCCCAGGCTGCTCGTGGCGGGGTTTCAATCCCCCGTCAGTTCCCCGGGGGTTCCGCAGCCTCCCCTCCCCCCCGCTGTCCTCCACCCGCCCCTCACGGACTGCGCGTGCCCCCTCCCCCTGTGTCTCACCACCCTCCCCCCCCTCCCCCATCAACACACATTTAGTACCCATTCAGCTGCCCCATTGCCCCTCACTTCCGTACCACCCAACCCCGTCTGTAGGTCGTCTTTCTCCCCTCCCCCTCTAGGCCCCCCCCTAGGCCCCCCCCTAGGCCCCCCTCTAGGCCCCCCTCTAGGCCCCCCTAGGCCCCCCCCTAGGCCCCCCTCTAGGCCCCCCTCTAGGCTCCCCACCTGTCCCCCCTCTAGGCCCCCCTCTAGGCCCCCCCTAGGCCCCCCCCTAGGCCCCCCACCTGCCCCCATAGACGACACCACCCGGACGCCCCCCCGCCGGGTGGCGGCCGCCAGAAGCGCCAACTTGGGGGCTATGGAGTCGATACAGTCCACCACCCAGTGCAGGGGAGCAGCAGGGGACGAGCAGGACGAGCAGGAGGAGGGGGAGGAGGAGGCGACACCATCCACTTCATGGCTATTGTCGGCACCACTGCCGGCACAAGTCCCACGG